CGAAAGAAAAAAAAAAGTGTCGGTGATATTGGCCACACTGGATCACCCTCTCATTTTGTATATAATTGAAAGACAACATAGAATAGTTATAGGTTTAGAATTTATTTTAATTTAAATTAAATTCTATTTCAAAATAATGTGTGTATAAAAACATCATGTTTAAGCAAAAATTAGTTTTTAACAATATTTTGAAAAACACTTTATGCTTTGACCAAAAATATATTAGGCTATAACATCTGTCGTTTTAAAAAGAGGATCCTTTTACATGGTGTATTACCAGTGAAAATTAAATTTAATAAAATATAAGTACTTATTTTATTTTAACGGTTAATAGCATTAATAATTTTTAGCGGATGAAATACAAAACCTTATTTTCTCTTAAACATTTCTAATTCGATCTTTTCCTTTAAAAAACGAAGAAAAAAAAGTTGTTAAATATGTTAGGTTCGTTAAAATATACACTATATGATACAAATGAATGATAATAACTCGTGTCTTTTAATAAATTATTAATAATTTAAATTTTAATCTTAAATATGAAATAAATTATATTTAAAAAAAAATTACATATTTTATGTATATTTACAATCACATATTAAGATTTATCACTATTTTTCATAAATGATCATTATTATTTAAAGTTAGTATTTTAAATATGTAATTAATGTATTGAATATTTATTTTACGTAAGTAAAATTTATTATAAATTATATATAAATAAGTATTATATTTAAAATTATACTTAATACTATTTTAATATAAATTATATTTTAAATTTATAATAAATAACCTATATTACAACATAAATTATTTTTAAAGTATATAATTTAGTTTAAAAATAAATATGAAAAGATAAGTTAAAATAAATAAAGGTTAAAAATAAAAATAAATAAATAAATAAGTCTTATTGTATAAAGACTCGTAAAAAATACTCTTATACAATAAAATAAAATAATGTTGGTTTATATAGATAGGATAATGTGTAGAGTGTAGTCGTTAGTTTCGGTAGTTCGGTAGGAAGAAACTATAGGAGTTGTTGTTCCTTTATTATATTTTGTCGTTACATGTTTGGCAACGTGGTGGTATTATACAAACATAGTCTACCAGATATATAATTCTCAAGACTTTTCGTCTACAATTTTCAGTTTTTCTGATTTTTTTAATCACCAATATGCCCTCCTCTACATGTGTTGAACTTGAATAACCTATGTGTTAGGCCCTTAAGGCCATAAAATGTGTGTGAAATTAACAAATGTTTCTAAAAAGATTGATGTGATTGTTAGATTATAATTGCTAGGTAGACGATTTAATTGGCAGTTAGGTGCAGTTGACTATAGTTTTAGCTATAATTACATCTAAATGTTAGTCATTGCAATTATTTTCTCTTTCATTTACTTAATTATTATGTACTTGGTATTATTTGTAGCAGCAAAATTAAAATGCCAAAGATTAATTTTTATGCTTCGGTTAACATACTTTTCTTTTTTATAAGGGTAATTGAACTCTATTACATTTTAATTATCATGTGCTCAATTATGGCTTAACATTATAAACTAAAGCTAATAGAGTTTTGTTTTCCTCTCATTGCATGTGGTGTGTATGTAGAGTGTGAAAGCGTATATTACATATATTTTATTTTTAACGTAATGAGAATATTTGATATCAACTTTTAACTTAAAATTAGGATTGTTCATGGATCGGTTTTTTGAAAAATTCGAACCGAACCAAACTAAATCATTTTATAAAAGTGGATTGGTTAACTGATCCATTTTTATAAAGTGGATCGGTTTGATTTTTTTAAAATATGATTGATTTTTTGAAAATGGATCGGTTCGGTGTGGTGCGGTTATCCACTTTTTATTCACATATGAATCGGTTTTTTTTTTAAATCAAACCGAACCAAACCGATCCACTTTATAAAAATGGATCGGATAATTGAATCGGTTTTATAAAGAGGTTCAGTTCGGATTTTTTTTCAAAATGGATCGGATTTTTCAAAACGGATCGGATCGGTTATGGATCGGTTCGGATCAATTTAAATTTTTTGCACACCCCTACTTAAAATAAATCGTTTAAATTAAAAAGTTATAAATAAAGATTACATATTTTTATTAATGTGATTATTTATTTTTATTATTATTATTATCATTATTATTAGCGAGACAATAATGATATTACTAACAATAATACATTTAATGATATTTTATTTATATTCTTTCAATTTAAGTTATTTATTTCAATTTAATAATTAAAATTAAGTATTTTCATTTTTACATGGAAATAACATTTTTATAGTATATATATACTTTGTTATTTTTATATATATTTTGTGCTTATATATAGTTTATATATATAAATTATTATAATAAAATATTATCTTATATAAAATTAGAGCTAATTACCAATCCTTTCGTTTATATGTTGTTTTAATTTCATTTAAAAAATTATAATTTTTTATTAGAATGTATGAATGTTAGGATTTTTATATTATCAATTAATAAATAACTATATTGAAAATTATTTTTAATGTAATATTATTAAAGTAGATAAAATTATTATATAAGGGGATTTTTGTTAACATTGAAAAAAAAACACGTTATTAAAATGTTAAAATAGAATTGTGGTCCTTATCTTTATTTGTGATTTTTTTATATCTTAATTAAAAAGAAATATTGACTTGTTAAAAAATGTTTTTATCAATCCTTTTTGTTAATTCTAACATTAATAATATTAATTTTAATTGATGTGACATTCTTCACAATTCATCATGTGATATTAATTAATCAAAAGGTCAATTTAGTCTAACAAAGACATTCTTAAAATAATAATATTTTTTTTTATAATTAAGAGAACAAACTAAAACCAAATATTAAAATAAGGGATTAAATTTATACTTTAACCTTGTTAAAACATAACAAGATGTAGTATTTTCTCTTTTTATTATCAAACAAAACTCGGATGCAAGAGATGACATTTTTTTCCAAACAACCATATAGTATTAGTTACAACTTTATATTATTCCCGCTCATGCCTTTGTAAATCATTATCTCAAAGTAACTTCCAATAAGCTAGCCAGAAAGCTCTTTGCTTTGAATTTCTTTTTTATCCACTTTATCTTCTTTTTTTTTTTGTAAAAAAAAAAAGAAAAAAGTTAAGGTTGCTTTTATACTCACAATTTTATCACAAAATTAATCCAAGCATACGAATGTTTTGTGACTATTTCTTTTTAATATGAGTATGAGAAATAAAAATTGTAAGATATGATATCTCTTCTGAACCAATCAACAACTTTATAGGTGGTGGTTGCCAAATCTAAAACTGTCAAGACTCTTCCTCATAAGCCCCACCATTGTGTATGCAATTATCCTCTTAATCTATTTAACTAATAACTCAATTTTAAATCGAAGCATCTATGAATTAATAATGGCGATGACTATAGCCTTTTTTGTTGCATAGTTCAATAAGGAAAAATCACCATTATCAACTGGGAAAATGTGCTTAAAAGGTACGGATGAGCAACCTGGTTGGAGGATAATATAATATAAATAAATAATAAAAATAAAAATTAAAAGGGTTTGTTGGAATTTAGTTTTTGATGTGGAACCGTTTGTTGGCACAT